CTTGGCAGTGCTAGGTTTATGGTTGGACTTGATGATCTTAAAGGTCTTTCCCAACCTAAACAATTCTATGATTCTAAGAATACCTTACTGTTAAGGTCAGTTCTGTGTTGATCATTTTTAATACTTAAGTGCTTGAAAGATCGCCAAACACTGTACTGGGTCTCACTCCAAGGATGCAGTTGGACAATATGGTTTGAGTCAATCTGAGAGTTCACTGCTGTTGAGCAGGGGAGGACCTGTAGCCTGCTCAGCTGGTGGAAAGACAGCAAACATTATGTTTTCTTCTGGGTCACTGAACAGAATTGGTGCTGTGAACGGTAGAAAAGGCAAGGGAGATGGCACAAGGGGGGGGTGGTGGTGAATGCAAGGAGGAGGGGGAGGAAGGGGGTCTAGCAGCTGTAAGCTTTCTCAGTTGTACTGTCAAACCATACTCTTAGTCTCTTCTCTGAGACTGTGCTGATGAGAAATAGAAACATTTTCTTCTTAAAGCTGAAGTGTAAATAGCAGGATGAACCTCTTCAGAAAAAGTATACAGAACAAACCTTACAGATTACTTATTGCTATCCTGAATCTCAAAATAACATGGAGAATTTTTTTTCTTTTTAATGTTACTTGGAAGGTACTATAGCTAACAATTATTAGCTATTGATAGCATTAGTAACCCAAAACTACCAGAGATACAACTCAGCAGAGTGAGACCACAGCTGCTACAGATCATATGCTACTTACTTCTCCAGATTATTTGGCAGTACTCTGAGTTTTGTTTAATGTAAATATACTTCAGGGATCTAAACCAGGAAAACATGAGATTTCATCTTGTACAGATTTTAGACTACCTCCCTATTGTAATACCTAAACAGCTGTGAGATATCCTCCGCTCAAATACAAATCTCTTGAGACAGTTCTCACAACTCTAAAAATTAAAGATCTCATAGAGGATTTCAAATATGGCTTGCCCTCTTCTAGAACCGCATTCTCTCTCCATTAACATTACCACTGAATTGTCAGCATCTTACTGAAATATGCAGAAAGAAAACCGTATAGGCTTGAGGTTACTTGAATAATGTTGCTACAAATGTAGAAATTCTTTAGGCTGCTAAAGGATACTTCTGAAACTTAACTAGCAAATAGGTATGTAAATATCCCTAAACAGGTTCTGGTCTTTTCTATTTCAAGAACACCTATCCCAAATCAGAGATAATTCACTTATAGGGGTAATACTTCTCAAAAATTACAACGACAGAAGATTTGTCTGCTCATAAATTATTTTAGGTTGTCACAAAAGAATGTTCACATTAGATACTAATATATGTACATCAGTGAAAGAGTTGTTTTCATTTTGCAGGAACTTTAGTTTTACTAATAAGAGTTAGGCTTATAATGGTGTCATGAAACACAGTACTTCTAATTATAATGGGAATGGATATAGGGAAAAATACAGGAACTGTGTAACACATATGTAAAATTGCATTTTCACAAATCTCTACCCACATTTTCCATGTGGTTTCACTAGCTTTTTAAGAGACTGAAAATATTTTTTGTTTTAGGTTTCAGTTTGAAATCATTCACGCCAACAATGGTGTATGTTCAATAGCAGACATACACTGTCCCACACTTCCACTGCTTTTGAATTCTTATATTATGATTTTGTCTCATAAAAGTGCATAAATCTTCAGTTTTATTAGAGTTTATACAACTTTTAAACAGTGAAATTCAAAATAACAGCAAACAGCAGTCCATTTACAGAAAAGGAAAAGATACCAAACCACCTTAACAAAGGGGGAAAAATAAGAGCAGCATGCTAGGGAATTTGGAGAGAGTAACTGTGTCATTAAAAAGAAGCTGAGAGAGATTAAAGCTGCATATTTGGTTAGTTATTATGGCTCTTTGCAGTCTTCCAAAGGGAAAACTTTGACCATGCAGAATTAAATCTGAGACTAAATAGTTCATGAAGTGGCTTGGACAGCAGACATAAAAATCTACATATACATCAGTTCATTATAGTTCTGTCAACATCATACTCCTTGTCTTCCAAGTATTAGGAACTATAGGCCTCACCAGCAAATAACATCTACATTAAGAATCTCAGAAGCTGAATTTGCAATGAACTTTCTGGAGTGTCATACACTAACAGCTCAAATATGTAATTCCTATTTATGAAACAACAGCCACCTCATTAAATTCCATACAATTACATAAAGAATGGTTTTCACAAAAGAAACTGCTGCTTCTGCTAACGATTATAGAGAGCTGTTAGGGAAATCTGACTGGTACTCAGCTTCAAGGGATGGTTGTCCCAGTGATTTTTATGGTACAAACAGAGAGAAATTCTGGACAAAACAAATTTGGCACAAACTTGCCACTTGAACAGAAATGCCAAGGCATTTACCACACAGAGGGAGATGTCTGCACAAGGGGATACCCTCAGGTTAATCAAGATGGCTCCACACGCATGAGTGGAGTGGCCAGCATCTTTGCACGACGCTGCGGCGTACATCCAGAACATATTTATATCTAGCATGGGTATCTTACGTATGGCACACAAATGGATGGCTACACTCCGCAATGCAGGGCCTTATAAGAACCAGCTCCAAAGAGAGGGTACGTTTACACAGCACAGTGCAGATCATGTAAACATAATACCTTGAGTACCCTCAAAAATTAACTCTGTTGCACCATGTTGTGGAGAGATTAGTTTGGAATGAGTTAGCTTTGGAAGAGAAAGTAAAAAAGCCATGCTAATGTGGATCTCACTCCCAGATCTGCATCAGTTCAGGTCTATGTCTTCACACCACTGCACATCAAGGTGCAACGTACCTAAAAATACAGTCATGGTATGATATAAAAATTAAAAGTGGAATATGAAACTGAAACTGAGGTGTAGGTGTTATGGGAGAAAAGCAGCAACAGGAAAGAAAAAAAAAAAATCATACTTCATCTCCATAAGAAGCTCAGGCCTGTCACCACATTCACACCATCTCTCCTGACACGGGCCATAAGCACCGAAGTGCCTAACACAATGCTACACTCATTTTCCTTTTTCTCTGCTTTGCACTTTATTTTCCCTGTCTTTGAAAGCTAATGCTAATTTGAAACCCTCTGCCAGGCCTGTCACCACATTCACACCATCTCTCCTGACACGGGCCATAAGCACCGAAGTGCCTAACACAATGCTACACTCATTTTCCTTTTTCTCTGCTTTGCACTTTATTCTCCCTGTCTTTGAAAGCACCCTCTGCTAATGCCTGTGTCAGGGAGCTTCTCAGAATGTCATCACAGGGGGCCAAAGATTTTTATGAAACTCAACAGCAATGACTGCTGCTACATAATGATTCCCCCTGTTCCTCTCAAACAATGTGAACTTTCAAGAGGGATAAGAGCTACAGTCATAGAACCTCTAATATATAATTAAAAATGCTGTTATTTGCAATTTTTTAAGTCTTACGGATGTTTTTTGGTGTGGATTTTTTTAATCTGAGAGAACTGGTTTGGAGAGAGATCAATAATTTATCCGATTTATCCTCTTCATCTCAGTATCAGCCCGAGTGAACTAGTAGATAAAACCATATGAAGACGTAAGACATGTAAATTATTTCATTGTACTTTACCTAAAGCATAAGCACAAAAGGTGGTAAAAGCACTGAACAGCCATACCCAGGTGGGAATAAGTCCAGGACTGGTACCTGAAATAAATCGGGTAGTGAGTCAGTGTAATAGCTATTAACATCAAAGAAATCCACTGAGATATGCATATACATTTGAACAAGCTGCCACTGATTAGCCCACCACGTCAAAACAGATTGAAATAGTTGGCTTTGACCTTAAGTCATCAGTGAGCTCTAGCAAAGAAGCAATAAGCAGGCTTGAATGTGTTTACACTGTAAAGGAGAACAGATAAGGTAGGGGGTTTTTGGTCCTGAAATGACTCTAATACTGCACGTAATAATGATAGTTGATAACGACTGCTAGGCAAAAATTTTCACAGGTCATGGGAAGACCACCCATCTACAAATAATGTTTATGTAATATTTAAAGACAAAAAACATGTCATTTTCAAGCATGATCATTATCATTAGCGCCAACATGGGATTTGTGTAGCACTTTTACCATACAGATCTGAACAGGGATTTTTTTGTCCTCAGGCTAGGGTAGATATTAGCACCCTTTTTTTTTTTCCTTGGAAAAAAAGGAAAAGAAAGCTGAATTGGACAGAACCCAGGGTTCTGTTATTGCTCTGTTGATAGCAATAACCCAAGATTATTGTTGCTCTTTTAAAGATATCAATCCTTTTTCCAAAGAGCATTCTATTTAACTTAAATATAATCCAATAAGGACTACATCGGCACTAAACAACTGTAAGTGCAAAGCCCTCTGAGGTTTCTGGCATTCGGCACCGAACACAGGGAACCCGTGCCCGCAGAGCTGGGTCCTTGCTGAACGGGGAGATGCCAGTACCTAAAGCAGTGCCCTGACCACCTTTCTCTCAACGCCTCATCTTGCCACTCTGAAAGAAAAAATAGCAATTCCTGACTCCTAGCTGCAAATTTTCAAACTGTAGAATGAAAACCAGCTGTCCCGGAAATTAAGTCTTTTATTTCTGATCCTAGGTATGGGATTGATATATGATACTCAAAAGGCTCATTAGGTTGCAGGAACGTTTTCAATCAATTGAGAAATGATGGGCACTGTTCTCGTGTGAAATCGAGAAGAGGCTTGCAAACTACACATAGAGGTCTCAACTCTAACAGCCTTAATCACCATTTCAAATGTCTTCAAGTTCAATGTGTATCTACTGGGAATGTGTCAAGATAAAATTATCCCATTAAAAGATCTGTGCTGGATGCTCTTTTATTGCAGAACTTAGTAAATATCAGCTGCATTAATAAAAACCCAAGTGTTTAAGGATGAGGTCAGATAACTACATAACATGCTGGTCCTGAAAACTTAATGCTCATACAGGATAATTTTTGAACCAAAGCTGCTAACAAGTATCCCTGCCTCTAGAATTGTTGTGACAAATGCACAAAGAGCTCACACCTAAGGGTACCTCCTAAACCTAACCACAGGCATAAGAAATCAAAGGCAGTAAAAAAACCCACACATGATTGTCTCAGGAAATAAGTATTAAGTCTTCAAAAATTGTCCAGTTTAAAGAAAAGCAAAGCTTTTTACATATTAACCACCCTGGAGATGCTTACTACTTTCTGTAGGCTCCAACAGCTGGTTTGAGAAGCCCAGAACTGAACACACCCTACGCTCCGGGGCAATCCGCTCCAAAAAGCTTTTGACTTGGTCTGCTGTGAGGAATAAATATGGACTTGGACTTTGACAGTCATACTTTCAAGAGACATTTATTTAGAAATTATTTTTACTTTGTCTTGAGTAGGGAGGGGGAGTAATGAAAGGGAAATTAACTCATTCAGGCATCAATTTAGGTATTAGGAAATGTGAAACCATTTATAATTTTATGAATAACATTAGGGTGGGGTTTGGCTGTGTATTTAAATCCTGGAACACGCTTTAAATAAAACGAGATATTATCATAGACTTCAAGTAGCATATGCTGAAACCCACATTTAGGGATGAAATTAAACATGATTTTTCAACAAAATTATCAGAATTTATAATGCCATGTGTGAGGTCAGATCCTCCTATATGCACATGGAGCCTCATTAAGAGAATGAGTGGAAGATTCAAGTATCTGATACCTCCCTGTATCATTCAGAAGTATAACATAAGCAGCTCACTAATTCTGAAAAATTACATGAGAATATTTATTTACCTGAGGCAGTGTAGTCCCAGTCATAAAAAGATATTAGAAAATAGTTAACTAAAATCATGAGAAATCCAGAGAATGTTAACAGGTTGGGAGCAATCCACAAAGGCACTATCTGTTAAAAAAGAAAGAAACAAAATCTAAGAAAAACTGTATTTCAAATTGTAAGTTCTATTTTAATTAAATATTTTTTATCAGGAAAGGAGAAGCCTATATATGACATCAGCAACGTTCAGATTGGTGCATATTTTCCCAAAAATGTCATTTAAAAATGTCGTATTTCCTACGCTATACATTACCCTCATTTTCCCAGCCACCGAGGAAAGCTTCTGGCAATTGTGCGTATCACAACGGAAAGAAGACTGCAGCACCCCAGTGTGGTAATTCAGCATCCACGTGGCAGGGGTTTAAGCATTCTATTCCCACACTGTAACAAGGAAATTTCTTCTTCTAAAATATGTCGATAATTTCCAACTCAAAACATCAAGAAAATCAGATGCTGAGTGCATTACACTTTCAGATCCAGAAGATCTCCCTGTTACAAGCAGCTCCCTACTTCTCTACACAGTAACTTTCTGCAAGGTCTCTCTCTTGAGTCATAAATTATAAACACTCCATTAATTCATTTTACTTTGTAGAGCGCTGAAAAGGACTCTCTGTCTTCACCTAAGCCTCTAATTCTTTGTCCCATTAACCGTTCTCAGCTATTCATCCCCTGCGGCTTTAGGGTACTCCTTACACTGCAACAGGGATCCTTTTTGGTAATACTCTTCCCAAGTAACACAGTTTCTCCAGAATATTTTTGGAAATAGCATACACAGCTTTCACCATGACTTTTAGACAGAACACATTTGCAGGAATACTAAGTATCAACCACTACCATCACTCAAACACACAGTATCAATATATTCAAAATACAAAAATATTGGAGGCTTATAATCAAATTCTTTGGAGTGTCTAAGGACTGAAAATGTACATAAAGTACTCTGACGCTACAAAATTTTACAAAACAGTATTAAAGAAAAAGAAGTTAAATAATTTCAGATACTAATAATAGTTTTGAAATCAAATGTTTCGTTAGTTTCTTTGGACTAGCTAGATGGACAGACAGATGAAAATATATTAATTTATATACATCTTTACAATTTATATACCTCTATCCTATTACTACATGAAAAATTTGTATCTAAAATTTGAATGCTTGTTCTGATTAATTATCCTGACTAGATCCCCTTTTTCTACTACAGAACAATTAATAATATTAAGGAGAAATTGTGCAACTGATGTTGTACAGTGTACAGTGTGAAATTTCAAAACCCAAATGAAATAACTGAAAAATATTCAGGAATTATTTCTTAGATGTTTTCTTTAATAACTTCAGGAAAAAAATATTAAATCTGATAGTTGCTTTCCTTATGACCAGGATTTTATCACTAATTTTAAAATATTGTATGCCAGCTCTTATAGTATTTAAAATACATCATGGAACGCATACGGCTACAACAAAAAATTTTAACGTTTCTTTCATTCTGAGTCTTCAAAGGCCCAATTGTAAATCCCTAAGAACAGGTGCCAGCAAACGTCCCCTGAAGCTCCTTTAGGAGAACACGCAAGGAGGAGCACATCTCCTAATTTTGCTACCTGGGGACGCAGAAACCTTGTCAGATGGAGGCATGGTATGAATCGCCTGCTGTGGAATTTATCTGATGTCTATGACCTTACATGAAATAAGAAGGACAGATGCTGAAGAAATTCTGGACTGGGCTCTTTTAGACTAAACATAGACCAAAATAGTGCGTTAAGACAACCTACGGATGAATCGTTTACGTGGATATACAGACGCCATTTATTGTTTTAAAATGACTGATTCCTCCTGTATGATTCACAATAATTGTTGACTATTAAATAAAGTGGGGCACTCTAAATGTCTGCTTTCTAATTAGGCTCATCATTCTAAAGAGTCACAATGTCATTACTAAGTTATTAAAGGAAATAATTTATGCTTACACAGTGCAAACACGAAGGCGTTATTTTAAACCACTTTCTTGCTAACATCATGTATTTTAAGAAGGAAAGCATCAAAGGATGATGTTATACTTGCAATCCCTTTGGCTAGTAGACCTACCATGAAAAACAGTTACAGGAGCTCTATCCTAGGGAAAGCGGCCTCTCCTGCAGTTAAACCCCTAGGCATACTCTTTTGATCCTTACCGAACCTAATCTGTCTAGGTATTTGGAAAGTATCCCAGCTGCAAAATCCCTTTTGTTATATTTAATGCCATTTATTCTTTTGGTTGGTATTACACTACCATCACCCTATTTCACAATTCAAAAATTACAGTGTATTAAAGATTAACTTCTTCCACATGTTGCAAAAATACAGCCTGAATTTACTAGTAACCTATAGAAGGATATGTTGCAATATTTCTTAGCTAATTAACAGACAGCAGAAGTCTAATACATCAATGCTCTACATGATTAATACAACTGGAGGTGCCACTGGGGAGAATCAGGTCTGGCAAAACCATTGTACGTTTGAATATTTTAGTTCAACAAAATACTAACTGGTTTCTGTTTTAACAGGTCTACAGCCATTCATCCCCAAAGCCGTAATACAAACAGCAAATGTTTTAATACATAAAATGACTATTTGGATAATAAATGGTAAAGTACACATATTTATATAAAGCTCTGCTCAAACTTGAAATATTCCTTAACTAAGTCACTTGAGACCACTAAAATTCTACTCATGCCCAATTCTAGTGATAAAATCAAGTTCATAAAGGCAACAGAGGGGGAGTTAATTGACTTCAGTGAGGCTGGTACACACCTGTGTATCCCTGTGGGATTTCCTCCTTTTCCTCTCATTGTCCTGCACAAACGTGATTTCTCATAAATACAAACAGAGGAGGAGTATTCAGTTTGTGTAGTAGCTAAGTAATACTATCCGTTATCTGTCAGGCAGCACATGATTGTGCTTTGTTATAAAATACAAATCTTAATTAAAGGCAAAAGGACAGAGCATTGAATTAATTACAGATGAAACACCTATACTTGCATAATCAGAATAGTTTTAAACAACATGTAGAGAAAGTTAATTGTTATTCTGTAGTTTCATATGGGTGTTACTATAGTTTCATACAATGTGGAAAAGCTGCCATGGACAGGAGTATCTCAGAGTACTTCAAGCCCATCCAGGTATGAAACACTTTCTGCTTTAGCACCACATTCAACATACTTCAAGCCCATCCAGGTATGAAACACTGCCCTTCACTTTCTGCTTTAGCACCACATTCAACGTGTTTCTGAAGCACATGCATCTGAAAATCACACTCAAACTGACACAGGCACATGGTACCGTATGTAAGAAAGACGTCTTTGGAAGCGGAAAGAGAGCAAGGTAACCCTCAGGATTTCCAGGCAAATTTCTAAATAAATGTACAAATTCTTTGCTTTTCTAGCATCACCACCACAGACAAATGAGTTGGGTTATGACAACATGTTTTCAGTTCTTACATATGTCAACATCCCAGCCCATGAATTCTCACACCTTCTCTAATGTCAGGTTCTTCTTAATTTCCCATAACGTAGGAAATATATCTTACAACGAATGATAATGTCTCATAACATAGGAAACATATCTTCCAATCAATTCTGTGTTAGAGAATACAGAGAAAATTGTGTTGCAATTAGGACTAAATTGACATATGAAAGGCCAGACCCAAATCCCAAGCCTCTCTTCTCATAGATTTTATTTTTTTTTTTGCTTGGCTCTGTGAATCTCAGGTAGGTTTCTTAACTCCTCTAGAATCTGGTAAAAATAGTCCCTGTGGAATGTTTATTTTTACCAGATTAGAAGCTAAAAGATAATTGATTCATATCTGCAAATGGATGTATTAGGACATCTGAACTGAGAGAAATTACTTCTCCCAGTCATCAAGAAGTACATTGTACTGCCCAATTTTGAATGAACTTCTTAGATGCAATGTTTCTTCTTCTTAAAAAAATATCCCAGCTTTACTATAGCTCCCTATTGCAATGCACTGTTCTATTTAAATAGAAACAAGATGATATATTGAAAATGTAGATTCAATATTATATTCTAGATCACAGAATATTATAGTCTAGAGCACACTCATAGCCCAGGTATAATGCTTACAACAGGTACAAGCCACAAAAAAAATCAGTGACATGTAAATGCATTCAAAGCTTCTCCTTCTAAAAATAACACTTGATCACATTTATTACAATACCACTGTTCTACTTACACATCAAGAGAAAAAAAAAGTATTTTTTGGTGAACAGATGAGCAGAATTTTCTTGGACTGAGTTTGGGACAACAGTTACTGCCACACCTGGTTTCCATATCTAGCCAGGAACAAAACCATTCTAGTAGCTTCCATTCCTACTAATATTTTACAAACAGTTAAATTTTGGCCAATGAGTTTGGTGCTCTACCAGTTCTCATTTTTATCTCTAGGAGCAACCAAGGTGACCCTGCTGCAATCTCCATTACATACTGCTTTCCCCTCTGCAGATCTGCATTCCCAGCTCCTCGGCAGGACTCTGATTTTACCTGGCAGTATCTTTTAACGTTAGAATGACTACTTCTGCAAAAGCTAAGAGCAATATAATTTCCCTTTGAATCCTTGTGAGACATCACTGAGAATTACCCTGTAATGCTCTTGCACCAGAAGGCAAAGGAGAACATTCTTTGCTGTATCTTCAGCGTTCAAACCAAACCAAAAC